TAGGCTCATTAATAAATTACACTCAACTAATCAATTATCCTTACATGAGTCTTGGATAGTTGAAATAATCAAAAACAGTAATAATCAGAAATACTAATTTCTATTAGTAGTTGATATTTTTGTGAAATTAGTTGATTTCATTGTAATTTTGATTCATCAATTATTTTATATGACAATAATCAATGTAATCAAACCTCATATAATTGATTACATTGCCCAGCTCTACATGTGGGATATAATTTAAAGAAGATGATCACATTAATTCTAACTTTTTAAAGAGAAAATTGGGAAGTTTAAAGACTAATAAGGCTCCTGGGCCAGATAATACTTCCCCAAAGATTTTGAAGGAGATTAAGGATTGGATATGTGAGCCACTTTCCACTATGTTTTTGTAAGTCCTTGAATGGTAAGAAGATGCCAGAGGACTGGAAGTTGGCTAATGTTACTCCTATTTTCAAGGGAGATGATAAAAATTGTCCCAGTACTTATAGGCCTATTAGTCTTACATCAGTTGTGGGAACAATTTTTGAAAGTCTGATAAAACATGCTTTCCAAGGTAATCTTAAGACTGGGCACTGAGGTAGGTACCCCACTTGTGACATTAATCCAGTTTGATTGAACCCCATTTATAACAATGCTCTGCATTCTTCCATCCAGCCACTTTTCTATGCAATATACCAACTTATCCTCCACACCTATAAAGAACATTTTTATTCAAGTCTAATGTGGCACCTTGTCAAATGATTTCTTAAAGTCCACATACACCAACTCTACACCCTTACCCTCATCTACATAAGCAGTAACCATTTCAAAGAATGTCAAAAGATATATAAGGCAAGATTTTTTCTCAGTCAAATAATGTTGACTATTCAATAAAATTCTAAACTTTGTTGAATATATCTATATATAAAACCTAAAAAATAATTTCTTTTCACATCCTCCAAGTGGGAAACTTCATAAAGCTTAGCAACCTACGACAAGCAGCAAACAAGTGCAAAGGTTGTAACAAGAAGAGATAATTATTTGCTTTACTTCTTTATTAACTGTTCTGTGTTTTAAGAAAAATAAGTTTAAGAACTTATTTGTAAATAGTAATAACGTATATACATACATAATGTATAATAATGGAAATGTGACTGTATTTTACAAAATACTAGTCCCCTAAAACACAGCCAAGACAGGTAACTTTGTAAAGACTAAAGGTCAGCTATATATTATTGGATACGGTAACACGAGCGCACATGGGGCATGTCATTATGTAACTTCTGTATTGTTATTCAGGCATGGCTGGAAGGTCAATATAATAAAAAAAAATAATAAATATATATATTAATGTATAATGTTGTGAGTTTTATGCTATTTAGACTAAAAAATTTGTGTTTTCATGTTATAATTTGTAGTCATTCTACAATGAAAAAAGCATAATTTATATTTTTTTCATAATTTTTTGTAAAGATTACGAAATCAGTCAAATTCAACCAACTCGTACAGAATTACAGTGGAGAAAATATTAAAAAAAATAAAGTTTTTTCTACAAAAAATTTGATAATTATCTGGAGATTATAAAGATTTTGCTTGTGAAATTTGAAAATGTTCTAGTGCATTAAAGTATTTTTAATCATAAAATCAAAATTGCTTTGTATGTTGAATTGTCAACATTCTAAAAGAAAAAGGTTTATGAGAAAATCTTTAATTAAAAAACCTTAATACTTAATTTAAAATCCTGATATTTTGTGTACGAAAACCTTTTGATGTTTACCAGTAACCTGCAAAAATTTGTAATTATGTGCATACATTATCAAAAATCATAGTATAATTACTCTCATGGATACTTCTGTGGTTACGAGCTGGGTGGATCCCACCCAGCCAGTAATGGAAGGGTTAAACTCACTTAAATATACTGCATTCACCACATCAAAGACAACTCATTTCAAAGGCCAATCACCCTGTTAGTGAAATAATAATAATAATTAATAAGTTAAGCTGAAGATGACTCCAACCCTCCGAAAATATATATATTTGTCTCCTAGTCCTACTGTTCTTACCATCAAATAAGAAAAAAGATGATGCATCAACACTGTCAATCTTCTTAATAATCTTACACTTCAATCATGTCCCCTCTAACTCTTCTTTTCTCGAGAGAAAAAAATCCAGAGATCTTAACCTTTCTTTAAATGACACTTCCATTTCTGGTACCATCCTAGTTTCTCTGGAACCATTTCCAATAATTCAGTGTTCTTCCAAGGGTAATGAGAATAATAATGAGCACAATACTCCAACTGTAGCTAACCAGTGACCTAAGCAATGATATTATATTCTCTTTAGACTTGAATTCAACATTTCTGTAGATAAACCTAAAGTCCTATTTGTCCTACCATTAGCAGCAGCATACTGCTTGAATTGCTTAAGAGATTGACCAACCAGAACACCAAGGTCCTTTTCTTCCATATTGTTACATCTCTGGTCATTTGTTAATTTTCCATAAAAATTCTTTCCTTTTCTTCCATAAAATTGTTAAGATTATTTCCTTTCAAATTAGGACCTATATCTATTATCTTGCATTTATTATAATTAAAACCCATTTACCATTTATTCTTCCAACTCACTAAATGATGTAAATCCTTTTGTAAAGTAGCATCCTCCTGCTAACAGCCAGCGACACCCAAGAACTTAATATCATCAACAAATTTAAGTAATTATTGATCATTCCTTCATTTATGTAAATCATAAAGAGTAAAGGTATATATAACATTTTAAATAACAAAAAAATTATAAATTACTGTATCAATACCATAGAATTCCACTATAATTTATCAAGTGTAGTAACTAAGCTGTATTTGGGTCTAAAAATATGAAATTTCGAGCTCACTAAAGACTTACCCCATCGTTTGAAATCTTGTGTAAAAAGAACAGAATTAACACAATAACACATCACAATGGCTGAGAAAACCACTAGGGAAACATTCTGAGTTTTGGATTGGTTATTCATGACAAATATAGAAGTAAGTGTATATAAGGGACCAAAAATGGAAAGAGGTGGGCAGGGGGCCCATTGTGTTTGATTCAGTACAGGAGTGAATCTTAGTAAATAGAAAAGAGGTTCTTATTTATATTCCTAGCTTGTCAATATCGATAGTTTGAGTTCCTAATTCGTATGAACTGTAGATTTTGTATTTTG